GTGGAACAGTAAATGAACTTGTTCATAAATGGAAATTAAATAAAGTTTGAATCTTAATAAAAACTTAATCAGAGAAAGTAATTCTTGAATTTAGTTAATGGGTAAACATGTTCGAACATTAATTGGTGAAGGAGCACCACCACCTTGGGTTCCATTTGGTACTAAACATACATCAACGAAGATAGGTTGTTTTATATTTTCAACTGTTTTCATATTCCTATTATTATTTATTATGAATAGTTGATACTTCTAAACGTTCGATGGATGTAGCTAAAATGCAACAATCTAATGAAGAAGATCCAGAATTTGTTCGTCAACGTCGTGCTGCTATTGATACTCTTCTTACTGATCGAATATCAAAAGCACAAAGATTTGCTAATCAAAATGCTATCAATGGTACAAATTTAGCAAAAGGTTTTGAACAAGCAAATCAACGAATGGCAAATGAAAGACCAAAAACAGCTTCAACTACTTCATTATCAATTTCTAATAAACCAATGAATATGGCAGCATCAACTGAAGCAATTAAAGCTAATAGTCGATGTAAGTAGATGCTTTAAATTGAAATTAAACATCCATTATCATGATCGTTTTAGTACCAGAATGGGCAAAAAATCAGATTGCAGATGAAGAAATTGAAAATGATAAACGGCGAGCACCATCGGATCGTAAACAATTTTCTAAAAATAATTTTGATGACGATAATCGATCAAAACGAGGTGGTGGTGGTGGTGGTGGTTTTGGAGGACGTAATCGACGAGGTCGAGGACGTGATGATGATGATGGAGGTGAAGAGACACGTCCGAGTAAAGATGTTACTCTATTTGATTTTCTTGAAGCAAAATCAAAATGTAAGAATTCGAACGAGTAATCAGAAAGTTTTTAGAAAAGATGTTTGCTTATTTTTGACTCGTTTTCGATCAATTTTCTTCTCTTTTCAAATATAATCTTAGAATTATTGTGACAATTTTTGTTCAAGAGTAGTGAGAAACTTTTTGAAAACTCTGAAAATGGTGAGTAATTCATCGAATATACTTTCTAGCGGATTAAAAGCAAACAAACATCTTGTCTAAAAGTTTTTCAATTACCTGTTATTTGATAATCGGCTAACGAAAAAAAATTCTCCTTTAGCTACAACGCAAAAAGCTCCTTCAAAAACTCAAAAAATTGATTCAAAATCAAGTCAAGGTGCTTCTGCTTCAAATCAATCAAATATATCAAGTGCTGTTCAAGTAAATTCTATTCCTTATAAATTTAAACAAATATATTACAGATTAATTCTTATAGAAACAAATTTTTGAATTTGAAAATGGTGATCAAGTAATAGCTCGATATTATGAAGATAATGAAGTGAGAAGAAATATTTTATTTAAAAAACAAAAAAAAGAATCAATAACTTCACTATTTTAGTACTATCCTGCTATTATAATGAGTGTTATGCATGATACTCAGAAATGTGCAGTTATGTTTGAAGGTTATAATTCTCAAGAGATTGTTAGCTTCGATGATATTGAACCATATGAAGTTTGTATTATCGATTGACTTTATTATTATATTGTCATTTGTTGAATCTAATTTTTCAGGCAGGATATTATGAAGATAAAGAAGGAGAATATGAACAAGAACAACAACCACCACCAACATTATCACAACGAAATAATCCTACTCCTCAATATCAACAAGATCAATCTGGTTATGGTTATTATAATCAACAACGAGATAATCAAAATCGAAATCGACCAAATTCAAGTCGAGGTTATTCACAACAACAGTATTCTAATCGATATAACAATACTAATTATTATTAACTTTTATGCTATTGACATTTCTTAAATCTGTTATTGTTGATGTTACTCATACATTTTTTCTGTTTCTTTTATAAGTTGCAAATATAATGGGACAGGTTATGACAGTTAAAGACAAATAGATTTTTGTTTTTGTTTTAACTAATTGAACAAGAAATAAATATGAATTGCATGAGATAATACAAGTGTTAATCAAAGAAATTGATGACTTACGAGAGAAATTCCTCATATAGCAGATTTAACAGTCCGATAGCTTCCCTACAGGTGTAACTATGTGTAGCTCTGGACAGAAGGTCGACCGGACGCAGAATTCTTGCGCTCAACTGTTTGAGTGTCCATACTCTCTAACTAATTACCAGAGCACGTGTACGTTACAACGTAGTCAGCATACTGTTGAAGAATGATCGGAAACAAATAGCCGTTAGTATCTTGTTCAAGGTCATTCCATGGCTGATGAGACTAAAGTTTGCACATTGTACCTTGTGGATGCATATCACATAACGTAGCCACTCAGCCATGGTGGCTTGTGACTCAGTACTATGTGCATTATTAGAGGGTGTGGGTATGAGTAAGTGTGTATAGTTAATATTCGCATCCATATTCTCTCATCAGAAACCATGGAGCCGTATATTTTACCTCATTCAGAAACATTGGATTCCAAGCTTGAAAAATATCTATTTAATTCATTTAGATTTTGTTTTATTTTTGAAAAAATTGAATTTTTTTTCGATGTTCGTGAGAAAAAAGGATAGAAAACTGTTAAAATTGCGTCCATACATGGTAGCTTTTATCACCATAGTTTACTCCAATCGCTAAATAACTAGCATATTCGGAGTAAGTGCAAAAAAACTACACCAAATATATGATTTTGTCCCCTAACATCGAGAAAAATCCAATTTTCTTAAAAATAAAACAAAATCTGAAAAGGATAAACAGATAATTTTGAAGCTAAGAGTCCAGCAATTCTAAAGGCGATAAAACTTTTGCTTCCATATCTTCTCGTTAGAAACTAAAGCGGCTTACAACGACGTCTATAAATATATGCTTTCAGATATGTTCAAGCTATCTATTTTCCATAGAATATTTTTAACTCAATTAATTTTATATTCAATCAAATAACATTTTTATACTCAGTTTTTCATATTGGTTATAAATCGAGAGTAACATTTTTTATTTGAGTAAACATACAGAAACAAATAAAACAATAAAATGAATGGAAATGATCATCATCTGTTTCACATTTGTGATATGGATTAACTTTCGCTACCAGAATTTAAACCATTTGAGTTATATCTTAAACGATGCAGAATTTCAAGAACTTTCAGAAAATATAAAATTAAATCGAAAATCAAAATTTTAGCGGCGATCGACTTCATATAGGCATGCGGGGCGAATGTAGAGGTTTTCTTGGATTTTCATCTTTTAAGCTTTATATTTTCATCATCTTTGAAGATAGAAAAACAATTTTCTTCATAAACAATGTACAGCAAATATTTTTCTTTAATTTACCGTTTTCAGATTTCAAAAATCTTGTCAAGAACAGACTCTACAGCAGTTTTTCGGAGAGCTCTAAAGCGTTATTGATTCGCCCCCGATTTGTGATGAATGAACAATCAATCATTTTGTAGTGGAGTGAATGTATAGCACCAGTTATTTTCGCTGGATATAGTCAAATCAGGTTTTCAAGTATATGTTTATGTTTTCTGAGCTCAAGTACGCTACTAAAAATGTTCAGTTCATCAAGTTCTTCAAGACGAGTCTATAACTTGTTTATGAGCAGAATTCGGCAAAAATCCGAAAGTTTTTCTCCAAATCTTGGTTTTTTCGATAACAAAAGTCGAGTTTGTTCCTTTTTAAGATAATTTTGGTAGTCTTAGTCAATTCTAACTATGAAATGAACATCCTATTGAGTTTTCATAGAGTTCAGTGAGTATATCAAGCATGATGGAGCTTATTCAGAAGTTATAAGATCTAATTTTGAGCGAGTTTAGACTTATTTCAAGTCCAATCTGAGTTGTCGCAACTGTGTTCTTTTTCTTGCTGTTAGGCAACTTATGGAAAGCTGAGTATCTTTTTTTGTCTGAAGCAATTATAGTCGGGACGCCTATTAGAGAGAGATAATTCAAACTTCGACATGGACATCTTTTTTTTT